ACTGCGATAATGCACAATAGATCTGATAAATGAGATGGCTACTAATAACTATAGGGCAAGTAGCATATACAACAGAGATACTCTGGATAAAGGGATGATTCACATCCTGGGCAGGATGGAGAGGGGCAGCGTGAACTTTCATCATGCTCCTCATGATGGCACATTATGAATTGTTAATTTAAAACTTATGTATTATTAAATTCTAGGAATCCTCCATTTAATATGTCTGGCTGTAGGTAACAGAAATTGGAGAAGGGAAGCCAAGGGAAAAGGGAAGTCCCAACTTTACATTACTTTACAGCCAATGTTCACTCGGGTTTGATCACATACTTAGCACTCTTATTCATTATTCTTTTTTGCAACTCAGAACTTCCACCTGAAATCACCTTCCTTTTGCTTAAATATATACTTCCAGAATATATTTAGTGAAAATCTAGAAACTGATGGTAAACCCAGTTGTTGTTATCCTGAAAATGTCTGTTTTACCCTCCTTCAAAGATAATGTCACTGAGTAAGAAAATTTCAGAATGGCTGTTATATTCTCCCAGCACATTAAAGATGCTGTTCATTTCCAGTGTCCGTGTTGCTCTTGAGGAGTCAGCTGTCAGTCTAATTACCATGCCTTTGTCGGTGATCTTTCTTCTACCTGTTTGTACATTTCCCTTAATGATTTGGTTTTCTGTTCTGATGTGTGGAGTCATGATTTTATTCATTTTTCCTGAAATTCATTCTAAGTTTCCATAGATGGCACTTTCTGAGCTCTTTGTGTCTTCAAACAGCTCTGGAAAGTTCTCATTTTTATTTTGTCAAATGCTCTCTGCCTTGTTCTGGAACTCTCACTAAACACATTTAGACCATTTAGCTCTCGCCTGCATGCCCCCTGACCCCCTTCATCACTTGGCTGCATCCCCAGGATTTCCTCACAGCCATCTAGTTCAGTGATTCTGTTTAGCCTTGCTTAATATGTTCCTGGACCTGGCCTCTGAACTCCTAATTATATTATTCATTTCTTCTGGCTTATTTTTTATATGTGCTTGGCAGATCTTATAATCTCTTAGTAATTACTCCAACTTTCAAGTTTATCTTTAGTCTTCTTAAACCCTTTATTCTGGGCATAATCATCTGCCAGCTATCAACATTTTGGTCAACAAAGTGATGGTGAGCACTTAAGATTATAATGATGATAAAAGCTCATACTGCCTAGTGATATCATCGCCATCACAGCCATAGTGACATCACAGAACATGCATAGAATATGCATTGTCTGTGGTGATGCTGGTGTAAACAAATATACTGCACCAACAATTGTACAAAAGTCTCCAGAGGGGTTAATTGTATAAGCAAGCACATGTAAGTGCAAGCATACAATTACATTCAGGACATACTACTTCACAATGATAGAAAATGACTATGTTACCAGTTTATGTATGTACACACACACACACACATTGTGAAGTAGTATGTCCTGATGTGTGCTAGGTATACCATCCAGGTTTGTGTAATTAGACTCTGTGATGTTTGGACAAAGAAGTCACCTAATAACATATTTATCATTATATCTCTGCCATTAAGTGATGGATGACTGTATATTTATATTTTCCCTTAGATGATTCCATAGCAACTGAGATAACAAATCAATGGACTCACTGAAGTGTAACTGGGCAGAATTACCAAATAAGTATAAATCAAACCTGAACATGCCATATTAACTGTGTAAACTACCATAATGTAAGTTTACTACATCAAACCCCTTGTACCCACCTCCCAGCTTCAACAAAATAACTACTGGTCAAATATCCTTCATCTGTACGCCACCCACCATCTGGAGAAGACAACCTCTCCAGAGACTGCAGATTCTACATCAATCATATCTGAGCTGCAATCGCTTGTCCATGACAAAGGAAAAAAAAACAGAAAGTAGAAAGTCCTCTGGAAATATAGTGCTTAAGATAGCACTCCAAACCACAAACCAAATGGAATATTAGTCATTAACACCCTCACCAGAGTCATCTCAGAGGTCAAAAAAATGCACATCTTTTAAAATTTTTTTTTAGTTGTAGTTGGACACAATATCTTTATTTTATTTCTATGTGGTGCTGAGGATCGAATCCAGGGCCTGGCACGTGCTAGGCGAGCACTCTACTGCTGAGCCACAACCACAGCTCCCCCAAAATGCACCTCTTATTAGCTACAAGAAAGTTGACTCTAATCAAAGTTCTCATTTACAGCTGCAGTCATCCAACCGCGTGGAACATCAGGGTTATTGGAATATCCATTACTCTGTGTATGAATAAGGGTCAACAGACAGAGGTCTGTAGAGACTCAGTCCTCAGGCATAACTCAAAAATAAATGAATTACTAGGAAATACTAGCTTGATTTCCTGTGATCACTCTAGAAGAGAAAATAATCTACCAAAGCAAAAAGCTCAATCACAGTTCTCCTGCCCTGGCAAAAGAAGACAAAAAGCTCTCTGATAGGAATTTTTCTACTCAAACAAATTAGGAGATTGAATGACTTCATAGTAATGGCCTTATTGTATCAGATCTTAGTTCAAATTTGAAACCTTAAGAACTCATAAATAGCAGCAAAAACTGGTGGGATAACACACAAAGTTATTTCTTTAAAAAAAAAAAAAGGAATTTGAACTCTTTGACTTAAATATCACTGGGTCCAGCCATAAGGAAGACTGGTGCTAAAGGAGAAAACAGAAAGCATCGTGTTTAACAACTGCCTTTTCAGCCAGAGAGCTGTTAGTCAGCTCTTTGTCACTGTGACCAATAAAGAGATAAACAACTTATAGGAGGAAAGGTGTATTTTGGCTCAGTCTCAGAGGTTGGGGTGCAAAGTTAGTTGGCACCATTGCTTTGGGCCTATGGCAGCCCAGCACATCACAGCAGGAGTGTACCCAGAGAGCTGCTCACTGGTGGCAGCCAGAAAGCAAAGCCGACAATTTTTCTTAACTCTCTTCCACTAGGCCCCACCTCCGAAAATTCCCACCACCTCCCAATAGCGCCACAGGTTAGAGACCAAGCCTTCCACACATGGGCCTCTGGGGGTCCCTCCAGATCCAAACTATAACGCTAACAATTTATTTAAATTGTTCTTCTACATATCTGGATCACGTGGGTTAGCATATGAAACTCTGAACTGAGACTAACTCCCTGCAAAACTTGAGTCATTTTAAATAGACAATTTCCCAGTGATTTTAGTCAAACAACCTCAACCCACCCCATTAATTAACAATAAATACCACTTTCATTTTTTATATATAATGCAAAAGAAGAACATGGTAACTGTGTTTATACCAAGTTCTTCTTGACTGCAGATTTTAGTTGTGACATTTGTTATTAAAGCGATATCTGTTAACAAAATACCTGAAGTAGGTTTAATGGTATCATTCAGCTTTTACTTTCATATAATTGTGAGTTTTATAAAGCTTATAACTGGGATCAAATTGAATGCAACAGAGGATTTGAAAGCATGTTATTTATAAGACAGAAATAAAATGATCTTACGTTATTTGGGAAGAAAGGCAATACGAAAAGAAACAAGTAAAAAGGCAACTGATTTCTCAAAACACATTTTTTTTTAATTGGCTTTTAGAACATCATCACCAATGGCCACTAAAACAAGATGAGTAAATTTCGATTTTTTTCTTTTTTGTTTGTGTTTGTTTACTTCCTTACTTTTAATCATACACAAATCTCAATTCAAATAAGGAGTAAGACGAGAATTAATGACATGTTTGCTTTTTACTTACCTCTTCTAATTAAGTTGATCAAGGTGGCCATATAAATGCTTCAAAGCATTTCAGCCAGGGGCCTTGAAAGAAAGGGAGAGAATGAGCAAACTGTTCAACTAGTAGTTCGTGAGTGCCACCAGTCACAGTCCCACTGGTGAGCTCCTGCCATGTGTCTAAAGGTGGACACACAAGCTTGAGCCTCTGGGAAATTCAGTGTCACCCCAAGGCACTGGCCGCTACCCTTCCTATACATGGAACACTCGTGCTGTAGATGTGGGGGGTCTTCGAGGAAAAGCAGGCTTCTGTGGAAGACTCTGCACTTGGAAATCATCAGGGATTCTGGGAAGCAGCAGCTACAGCCTCAGAATGGTTGAGGCAGTCTGTCAAATGGTGGCATCGAGCTGACCTTATGAGCACCATGCCTACTACAAAAAAAAAAAAAAAAGCTATTTATTTTAACTTTCTCAGTAACTAGACCTAAAGCCAGGCAGTGGCTAAAATTTGTAAATGCATTCTCTAGTCATTGAATATTAAAATTAAAAAAAAAAAAACTCCAAAAGTACCTAGTTCACCACTGATCCAAATTCATTTAATTTGCTTCCCCAAAATGCATCTCTAGATGTACAAATGTTTCTTTCCTGTTTTAAATGTTCAAGGTTTTGTATTTGTTATATATATATATATATATATATATATATATATATATATAATCATAAACTATACTGTCTAACCTTAAAGCCAAAAAAAACATAAAACAGAAGTTCTGAAAAGCAATTCATAACTAAAAATAAGTCATTTTCCTTTATCACCAGTGTGACTTACAATATGTACCCACATCTGTCGTTTCAGATGTTTAAATTCTTCATGAGAATTGTAAATATTCTTTATGTACCTACCAGGATGAAAAACTCTGCCAAGGCAGGTGCAGGGACTAAAAGAATACCCCTTCCTGGTTACTTTTGTTACCTTTATTTAAAAAATAAATAAATAAAATCACCCCTGAGGAAAAAACCTCCAAGATATGCCTCTAGTGGTAATTTCTGGAATGGAATAAAACACATTGCTGTACAAAAGGGGAAAGGGGAAAGGAAAAAAAAAAGCCAAGCAAAGTGCACTGTGTCAGTCCTAAGGTGTGTGACATGGCAGTAGGGAGGAGCTTCTTCTCTGTGAACTCCATAAAAATGTCAGCCCAGTGCCACCATGACAGACGCTGCTCCAACCTTCCTGAAGCTGCAGGTGCTGCTCCCAGAGTCCCCGATGGATTTCAGTCGCAGAAGCTTCAATCGAAGCCTGAGTTCCTCCTCGCAGGGCCCTGTGCTCAACTTGAGCAGTTCCCTGTACAGGAAGGGGAGCGTGCAGCGTCTTGGGGCTGCACCCAGCGTTTATGGAGGGGCTGGAGGCCATGGCACCCGCATCTCGACCTCCCGACACGTTGCAAACTATGGGAGCGATCTCAGCGGCGGGGACCTGTTTGCTGGCAATGAGAAAATGGCCATGCAGAACCTCAATGACCGGCTGGCAAGCTACCTAGAAAAAGTGCGGTCCCTTGAGCAGTCCAACTCCAACCTTGAGATGCAGATCAAGCAGTGGTACGAAGCCAACGCGCCCAGCGCAGGCCGTGACTACAGTGCATATTACAAACAAATCCAAGAGCTGAAAGATCAGGTAAGGCCCTGATGCCTGTGTTTTAAAACTATCTCACTGTCGTGCCTCTCCTGATAGCTCAAGAGTTAGGTGGGTCTAAATGCATGTTGTAAAGCAAATTAGGTTGCAATGCTTTAATTATAAAAATGCCACACCTATCATCCACCCTTAATATTGGAGCATCTGACTATATAACAGGGTGACTTTAAATCAAACTTTTAAATCTAATTACAATAATTTTATCCTCCAATCTTACAGTCTATCTTTGTCACAGCTCACCATGTTAGGGATACATGAATAGAAAACAATTTTTCTGAAAACACCTAACTCTTTATGTGTGATCATAAATTTTTCTTAGTTTGTCACCCAATCCCCACTTTTGAAAGTCAGTTCAGGGATCTTTCTACTTTCAGTCATGTAAATGTTACAAGTATTCGGATCCTATAGATTTAACAAATAAAGTGATTCAGAGTGGAAATAGGGAAGCAGGAGTATAGATCTTAATGATACCAGAATTTTTAAATGTCCTGTTTAATAATCTGATTAAGAGACCACTTTTACAATAATAAAATATTCTATTGCTTCCAATCCACGTTTATTGCAATCATATCACGACCTTCACCTCTGTTATCCAAGACAGGTGTAATTCTCTATTTTATCTCATATGGAATAAGGGTAGAAGACTTTGTTCCTAATTGAAGATGTCAGATATGACCTGAGGCACTTTTTTTTGCTTTACCGTTCTTATCTAATCAAGAAAAACGTGTCCCTTTCATTTTCATTTCTGTTTTATAATTCATATTCCTTTAGAGCAAAGGCCACTCACTGACTTAGCAGCAGGTCTCTTTTTCTCGAGCCATATCATAACCGCAAGTGCAATTTGAATTCAGGTTCTATAGGAGATTATGTTAGGATTTCTGAAACTATGCACACATGAAGCAATGCTCTTTAAATTAGTCTTCCTGTCAACAGATCATTTTTTCAGGCTATCACTAAAAATGTTCATAATAAACCAACCATTCTGCCATATGTCTCTCATGATTTCTGAATCAACTTGGAATCATTCCAAATACATAGGCTCGGCCATCAGTCCCGTGTGGCTGGGCAGAGCCAGCATATGAAGGCAGCCCTCTCTCCAAGACTAGATCCACTGAAAGAGACATGTCACGGTAACATCTTTTACAAGTAGACTTCTCCCTGCATGCATGTTAGAGAACTCGCCCACTAGTTAACCACTTCTTAGGACCCCGGGTTTATCCATCCTGATATCCCTAGATCCTAACCTCCCTATCATATGGCAAGTGTTCTTTCACCAAGTGTCAACACTTAGTGGACACTAACGAGGCACAGAGTACCTGCTGGGCATAGGAGAATACAATGGGGGAATTAGGAGGAAACAGGGATGGACAAAGCTACCACTCAGAGTGGTCGATGCTGACAAGGAAAGCTGTGCAGGACACTGAAAGCAAGGGCTGGTCATTCCACCTCTGCTCTGAGGATGTCACTGAAGGCTGCCTTGAAGCCACATTGCTTAAACTGAGATGTGAAAAAGACGTGGGAGTTCGCCAGCTGAGAGGGACGACAGGAATGTTCCAGACAGGAACAACATTAAAGACAAGGCACTCAATAAAGCTTGATGACCCAAGTTGACTGAAAGTCTCCTTTTGTAAAATAACGAGAAAGTGGGCCAAACCCTGGGGACCAGAGTTCACTTCATGCATTTTTTTTTTATATGAAATACCCATGTTATTATTCCTCATACATATTCTTATGTGGAGATTCTTGACATGAACATCTTTGATGTAACTGAGGGTATATCTGAGAATAAACCCAATCATTTTAAACTCCTATCCATTTGAAAGTGTCTTTCCTGTGTTTTTTCCCCAGATTACAGATGCTCAGTTGCAAAATGCTCGATGTGTCCTGCAGATTGATAATGCTAAACTGGCTGCTGAAGACTTCAGACTGAAGTAGGTGTTCTAAAACCACAGTAAAACTTACAGGAAAAGAATTCCTTTTAATAGTCCTTCAGAAATCCACATTGTTGGTGGAGAAACTGCCTTTAAATGTTTTCAGAATGTAAGACATAAGGGATGTTAGAAGCTACCTAATCCAGCCCAACATTCAGGGATAGACCTCTCTTCCACAGTCTTAAGATTCGGCCACCAAGTTCATAGCAGAATACCTCCGATAATTGCTACTGCTCTTGTTGGTTAGCTCTGGTTGCCCAAACATTCTTTTTCAGAAACCTGGCATCTGCCTTTTCACCCACTGAATCTTATCCTGTCCTTTGGCATAATAACAAAACAGCTTGAAATTCCTTTTCTGTACAAATGCCCTTCTGTTACCTAAAGAGAGTCAGATGTCTACATTTAGTGAACCTCCAAGCAGATACCCAGATTCCTTCAAGAACCTACATGTATGGCGACCTTCGATATTTACTAGTTTACCAGTGTTTTACAATATTGTCTGACCAACCAAAGAGCTAAGACAAACCTATGATTAATGCATTTCCATTGTGTTCACTTGCTTTCAGTCCTGTAATGCATGTGATCAAACTACTCCCACACTGGGGCTTCCTCATCCTGAATCTGTATCAACAAAAAAAGTCCTTTGTGGCTTAGAAGGGTAGCATTTTAATGCTAAAATGGATTAAAAAGAAGGAAATGCGGGGAGCTGGAGTTGTAGCTCAGTGGTAGAGAGCTCCTCTCGAGAGACCCTGGGTTCAATCCTCAGCACCACGTAAAAAATAAATTAGTGAAATAAAGGTATTGTGTCCAACTATAAAATAAATATTTTTTTAAAAAAGAAGGAAATGGGAAAGTATATCTGAAGATTAAAGCAGTAAAAGTTCATTAATTCCAATTTTATAGGTCAGCATCAGAGCGATCCACTGCATTATCATTGTTTTAAAGCTTGCTATTTTTTAAAAATGAGGGTCTCTAAGATTGCAGAGGAGGATATCTGACCATTCGAGGCACATCTGTTTACTAAGTAATAAAAATAAATGGATCATGTGCTTTCATTAAGCAAAGCCAGCCATAATTAATATCAATAATAAGAATCATTTTCTAACACAGTAATTAAAACAATTGAAATTAAAAATTGAAATTTTTCTTTTAATGTGTCTGGACACGGTGGCTCAAGCTAGTCATTCCAGTGGCTCTGGAGGCTAAGATAGGAGGATCTCAAGTTCAAGGTCAGCCTCAGCAACTTAGCAAGACCCTAATGCAACTTAATAAGACCCTGTCTCAATAAAAAACAAAAAGGGCTGGGGATGTAGCTCAGTGGTTAAGCGCCCCTGGGTTAAACCTCCAGTGCAAAAAAAAAAAACTTAAAGAATGTAGAAACTTTTTAAGTAATTGCAAATCACAGAGATTACATTATGGAGCAAATTATCTGATTCCTAGGTTCTCATGCATATTTTATAAATGTGTAAAGGGAGACATTATAAAGTATTGCAACTGATCACATATTCCACATTAAAAAAAAATCTATCTCACTATATTAGATTCTCTCTCCTATAATGACTTCAGAAGGCCTCAGCCTCAGCTGTCTCTGCACACTAATTCATTCACAGGTTTGAGACTGAGAGGGGGATGCGCCTAACAGTGGAGGCTGATCTCCAAGGCTTGAGTAGGCTCTTTGATGATCTAACCCTGAGAAAGACAGACTTGGAGGTCCAGATTGAAGAGCTGAACAAAGACCTGATTCTCCTCAAAAAAGAGCATCAGGAGGTGAGAAAATGATCAGAAGTGGTTCTGGGGATGATGGAATGGCTCCAATAAGAAGAATAAAGAGGATGAGGAGGAGCAATAGGGGAGGAGGAACGGTTGGTGGTGGTGGTGGTAGTGACCAGGATGAAGATGTCAATAATGATGGCAGCCCTCGCTCCTTTTCATAAGGCTGCTCTAGGTCAGATGACATAGAGCAATACCTGGACCCCAGAAGCCAGGCATAAGTTATTATTCTCCTTCTTTTTTACGCATACCCAATGAAAGCAGCCATAGATATCTTCTGTCTTCTCTGACCAGCCTTATCTAAGAATGTGCTCCACACTAAAATCAGGATTTTCACTCTCTTAGGAAGTGGACGTCCTGCGCCGGCAGCTGGGCAATACTGTCAATGTGGAACTGGATGCAGCTCCAGGCCTGAACCTCGGTGACATCATGAATGAGATGAGGCAGAAATACGAAGTCATGGCCCAGAAGAACCTTCAAGAGGCCAAAGAACAGTTTGAGAGACAGGTAACAGAATAATTCCCCAGTGTGAGCAAATGTATAGAAGCTGCCTTCCCAAAGGAGATCACTTGCTTCCTTGCTCCTTCCTTTCTTCCTCCCTTCTTACCTTCCTGCTTTCCTTCCTTTCCTTACTCATATTTTTTTTTCCATTCTTGGAATTTCAGACAGAAGCTCTGCAGCAACAAGTCCTAGTGAACACAGAAGAGCTAAAAGGAATGGAGAGTCAAGTTACAGAGCTGAGACGCACCTATCAGAACCTAGAGATAGAACTCCAGACCCATCTCAGCATGGTAAAGCACAGCTCCCTCCCACTTCGCAATCCAGCGAGTGTTTACCAAGTGTGAGGAACCCTGGGAATGCAAAGACCTCTAAGAAATAACCTCTCCCCTGGCAAAGCCAACGGGGAAACAGGTTAAACAACTAGTAAGAATTAAAAGACAGAAAGAAATCGAGGAAAGGGCAATGCACTGCCCAACGCAGAGGGAAGAGTAGATCTGGGAGAGTTCACCTGGAAGGTGGCGTGTAAGCTAGGTCTTAAAAGTTGAGTGAATATTAAAGCTGGAGAATAGGAGTCAAGACATTGCAAGCTAAGCAAATTGGCCAGCCCTTGGTAAGTGATGCTGTGGTCACCACCAACAACACCACGTTCATCATGGGGTGGCTGGGCTGCAGCCCTGCTCCATGACACTGGGGCAAGGCTAAGGGAGTAGGCTGCATCTGGGACACCCCCAAGTGTTGTGGCAGGAAGAGGACCAATGGCAGGGCCACATGTCAGTTTCACCTGCATTTCTTTAGCTGGAGAAAGTCACATGACCAGCCCCGGCATCAATAGGTCAAGGAAGTGTAATTCTCCATTTCCAACACAAATCACGTGGCCAGTCCTGATGAAGGGATGGGAGGTGTAACCTTCCCACAGGGTGGGGAAGCAAATACACAATGCAACGCACAGAGGGAACCAAAGGTGGGTGTAAAGCTGAAAACCACAGAGGAAAAACCCAGGGGCCAGGATCCTCGCTGCCTGGTTGAGTCTGCCTTGATGGTTAAAGGGAGAAAGGGTTGTAAACTGATACCCACCAGGACTAGCTGCAGAAATTCTTCCCAAGAGAAATTAAAATTGAGTCATTTCCTACATCTAGTCCTCCCATAAGGAACACTCTGCCTGTCTTGTGCTCCTAGAAAGAAGCTCTGGAACACACATTGGAGGACACCAAGGCTCGCTACAGCAACCAGCTGGCCAGCATCCAGGGGCGGCTGAGCTCTCTAGAGTCCCAGCTGATGCAGATTCGGAGTGAATCAGAACGTCAGAGCAACGAATACAGTATTCTTCTTGACATAAAGACCAGGCTTGAGCAGGAAATTGCTACTTACCGCCACCTTCTAGAAGGAGAAGATGTAAAGTAAGGCTCTTAGAATCAAGCAATACGTGTCCACAGCTGTGAGCTATTCTAGTTTGCTCTCCACCACTCATTACCCAGCACCAACGCAATCGTAGCACAAAAGCAATTACACACACACACACACACACACACAGAACATCAAGATAAAAATATACCCAAAAGTAACACACACACCCAAAATACCATGTATGGCCTTTGAAGTCATATGGTAGGAATGAATTAGAAGATGGTTATCTAAGTCATACAGATTATGCTTATGTTCGTTTTTATGATTGGTATATAACTGAAAGCACAATAATTTTTTAAAAATTCTCCTTGAGGGCTCACAAAGTAATCAGCAGGTCCCAGAGGTTCATGGGAACCAATCTGGGAACCATCAATGTTAGAGCAATATAGTCTGCAAAGACTATACCCAAGGACATCGACAATGTAGTCTGCAAAGACTACACTCAAGGACCCAAGACTTGAGCTTCTATTCTGTTGTTTTAATAACAGTAATTTCCAGTATATGTTCAGTGGGTCAGTTTTGAAGCTACGTATTTTTCAAGTTAAAAAGCAGATCATTCAAGTTTGAAATAACGAGCCTTGTCAAAGGGGGAAAAAATAGAAAAACAGCATCCAAACATATCACTCAACTTGGCTTTGAAATAGAAAAGACAGGAGAGCACTCCATTTTCAAACTGGCAATTATACTTTCTTCTTCTTTTTTTTCTTTCTTTTCCAAAAAAAAAAAAAATCAAAGAAATGCGCAACTTCAGTTAAGCAACCTGGAGGAGAGAGGTAAGTATTCCACGGTTTTGCACTTTTTCTCTGACTCTGAAATCTCAGCAGCTATCCAGTAATTCCATGTGGGAATTTATCCCTATGGTAGGATCATTGTCTTGGCCCTTGTTATTGCTGTCCTGAGAGCCTGAAAAGGAAAGAGAAAACTCAAATGTGAACTTTACTTATTTCAAGATCATGTATTTCAGTTTGGGGTGGAAAGAGTAAGAAATTTATAAATTGGGGGAAGGGTGGTGCATTTTCAGCATGTATTTGTAAAATGAATTTAAGATTATTTAAGAAAAAGGATGAGTTCAACTTTTTTATTCTAAAAGAAGGAAATAAGCCGGGCATGGTGGCACATGTCTGTAATCCCAGTGACTTGGGAGGCTGAGGCAGGAGAATCAAGAGTTCAAAGCCAGCCTCAGCAAAACAAGCGAGACGCTAAGCAACTCAGTGAGACCTTGTATGTAAATAAAATACAAAATAGGGCTGGGGATGTGGCTCAGTGCTCGAGTGCCCCTGAGTTCAATCCCTGGTACCAAAAAAAAAAAAAAAGGAAATAAATATGAAATAATAATAATAATAATTTAAAGTTGAATTTCACAAATCATGGACATGGGCCTGAATTAACATTATTGTCTGATATGCACTCAGATGTAAAGAAAACCAGGAAGATTAAGACAGTCGTGCAAGAAGTAGTGGATGGCAAGGTTGTGTCATCTGAAGTCCAAGAGGTGGAAGAAAGTATATAAAGAGCTGCCAGAAGGAGACGCTGCTGAGGTTTCAAAAGAAACGTGGCTGTGATTTTTACTCCCTATAAGAAAGTGGCCATCTAAAAGCACTCTTCATACTTTGTAGTGATCAGAAGGGGGAAGGGGAAGCCTATTTATCAGTCTATGTAATTAAATATAAACCTTTTATCAGAGGAGCTGCAAATTGCCTGCAAAAATGAAATCCAATGAGCTCTAAAATATTTAAAACACCATTACTGCCAGCTTTATCTTGGAGCACATCTATTACAAGCTTTAGATGCTAATATCAATTATACACATTTCCATGATACTAAACCTCACCAGAGCAGAGAAGTCTATGCAAATTGCAAATAGACCTCTGTCTCTGTTTTGTTTTGTTTTGTTTTTTCCTATTTCTGAATTGCTAAATCTCCTTTTGGGAGCTCCTGGGTTCTTAATTGAGCCAATTTCCTGGTTAATCTTGTTGGGTTTTTCAGGATCAGTACAATTCTGCCACTTTTAAGCTATGTCTGCTTTTCCCTCATTGTCTTTACTGCTTTTTAAAACTCAGCCCAGCTCCTTGAATAATTTGAGAGTCAAATTCCAATCACAGATGCTAAGCAGCAGAAGAATGAGGCACACACACCTTGCTTGTAATGAGAGAGACCCTTCTCAAGGCAGACCGCATCTCCTTTTGAAAATAAACTGCTTAAAATCATCGAGTGCCCTCTTTCTTTATGTGCCGAATGTATATTATGAAATGTTTCTCACCGTTTTTAAGTAACAGCTTTACTGAAATGTAATTCACACACAGAAATCTACCTATGTAATGGGTATAATTCAGTGGCCTTTGGTGATGTTCACAGGATTGTGCAGCCATCACCACTATCTAACTTTATCACCCACCAAATTCATTCCCATTCTCATTCTCCATTCCCTCCATCCCCTGAAAACCATTAACCTATTTCCTCTCTCAACAAATTTGCCTATTGTGGATGTTTCATATGAATGGAATTATACAGTGTGATCTGTTGTACACAAATGTTTGCAGCATTGTTAGTCAAAATAGCTCAAAAGTGAAAATATACATACTGTATTCTCACCATTTTTGCATCTTAGTGAGTGATAACTGCCTGTGAATGTTTATAGGAAAAATTAATTTGCCTAGTATAGTTGTATACTAGTGAATTGATTGGTTGGTCAAACTTAAAATTTTTTATAGAAGTTTCCAAATTATTAGGATAGTGAGTTTGAATATTATATGGGATATAATGATGTGGCTCACCTAAAAGTAATAATATCTGCCAGTTATTTTTTTTAATTTTTAATTTTTATTTTTAATTATACATGACAGTAGAAAGTATTTTGACATATCTTACATACATGGAGTATAACTTACCATTTTGGTGGTTGTACATGATGTTACACTGGTTGTGTAATCATATATGAACATAGGAAAGTTATGTCTGATTCATTCTACTGTCTTTCCCATTCCCATCAATCCTATCTCCCCCACCCCTTCCCCCTTGTCCAATCCAGTGAACCTCCATTCCTCCCTCCCCGTCCCCACCTATTGTGAATCAGCATCCACATATCAGAGAGGACAGTCAACCTTTGATTTTTGTGGGATTGGCTTATTTCACTTAGCATGACAGTCTCTAGTTCCATCCATTTGCCAGCAAATCCCATAATTTTAGTCTTCTTTAAAGCTGAGTAATATTCCATTGTGTATATGTACCACCTTTTCTTTTTCCATTCACCTGTTGAAGGACACCTAGATTGGTCTCATAGCTTAGCTATTGTTAATTGGGCTGCTATAAACATTGATGTGCAATAAACATTGATGTCGCTGTAGTATGCTGATTTTAAGTCCTTTATGTATCTGCCAAGGAGTGAGATAACTGGGTCAAATGGGGGTTCCATTCCAAGTTGTCTGAGGAATATCCAGACTGGTTTTCACAGTGGTTGAACCAGTTTGTAGTCCCACCAGCAATTTATGAGTGTGTCTCTTTCCCTGCATCTTTGCCAACATTTATTTTTATTTGTATTCTTGATAATTGCCATTCTGACTGGAGTGAGATAAAACCTCAATGTAGTGTTAATTGCACTTTTCTAATTGCTAGTGAGGTTGAACATTTTTTTCATATTTTTGTTGACAGATCATATTTCTTCTGTGAAGTGTCTCTTCAGTTCCTTTGCCCATTTATTGACTGGGTTACTTGTTTTGGGGGTGTTTTAACTTTTTTGAGTTTTTACATATCCTGGAAGTTAATGCTCTATCTGAGGTGCAGGAGGCAAAGATTGTCTCCCATTCCGTAGGCTCCCTCTTCATGTTCTTTTTTTCTTTTTTGATTTTTTTTTTAGTTGTAGATAGACACAATATCTTCATTTATTTATTTTTATGTGGTGCTGAGGATCAAACTCAGGGCCTCACACGTGCTAGGCAAGCGCTCTACCACTGAGCCACCACCCCAGCCCCCTCTTCATGTTCTTGATTGCTTCTTTTGCTGTGAAGAAGCTTTAATTGGACACCATCCCATTTATTGATTCTTGATTTTACTTTTTGCACTTTAGGAGTGTTGTTGAGGAATTCAGTAGCTAAGCCAACATGATGGAGATTTGAGCCTACTTTTTCTTCTAGTATCTGCCAGTTATTGAGTACTGTGAGCCAAACGGTGCGGCAAGTATTTCACACATTTCTCATTTAACTCCCACAACAATCTTATACCAATATACAACAAATAGCAACTTCATGTGGCTGCACCTTATTATATTATATCCATTTTATTTATAGGTATTTTATATGAAAACATAAGAGAAGTACTTTCCCCAAGTCACGGCTACCAAGTAGCAAAGCAAGATGGAAACTCGGGCTGTTTCTAAAGCCATGACGCCCTCTTAAGCAATAGGCAATATGTGATCCTCTTTTGAAGTAGGCATTTGCCTCCCCTGGGTTGCTTTGTTATTTTTCTAATTGCCATTTTCACGAGCCAAATATAATAGCCAGAGTGGCACTTGTCCAGCTTAGTTAGCTAACATCACGCACAAGACTTGATTCAGCATGACTTTTGTCAGGAGAGATATTTTCATTCCTTTGCTTTTCTGAAGAAGTAAAAAGGATTCAGCCTTGGTTATTCCTTACTTTCCTTCCAAGTCATGCCAGCTGGTAATTACTTTGGGCATGAGGTTAATGTTTTTTCCTGGGTTTTTGCAATACTCAATTCAGTTCATCCCTTTTTCTCACCATTTCCTCTTGTTTTCTCATGATCTGTTCTTTGAGTTAATGTGAACTTACTTTTTAGAGAAAAATAAACTTAAAAATCATACCAAAAAAAAAGACGTTAAGAATTCTGAAGTGAATTCTCTTCCACCTACGAAGACACACTTCAGGATGATCTGAAGCTTTGATATACAAATACCAGAGACTATGAATCTGGTTAATAAAAGACCTACGAAGATGCGTTTGAAATTGATTAGGCATGACCACTGACATGTGGCAATAATGACACTTGGTTATAAGAGGTAGGATGATTATTCTTAAATCAGATTCTCCCCTGCTTTTTGATCTATCTCTAGTTTCTTTCAAGCAATCTTTCAAAGAAAGTAGCTGAGACCATACAGACATGCGGAACCAGAGGGCGGGTTTCTAATTCCAGTTCTGCCAGTAGTTTCTATGTGAAAGCGACACATTAACCTTTGTGTGTGTGTGTATTCATCTTCTACAGATTAAAAACTGGAACAGCACAAACCTATTTTTGACAGGTAGCCAGACCCAGGGAAGATCTGTAGTCCTTAGATTCAGGACTACATGTGATCACACATTAGAATCATCATCCATGTATTCCTTCGCCATGTGTGAAATCATCAATGCAGAAGTGGAGCTTAAAAACTCAGAGAAAACCCCTCCACCGAGGTTAGGACGGAGATAGCTATTTTTTCTGAGCTCTGGGGACTGTTTCTATACTGAGCCCTGCCACATTGAAAAAGGAGACTGATACCAAGTGACATGAAATCAAAGCCTGCCCAGTGACACTCCTGGACACCTTCTTCTCTCACCCTTACTCACTCAGGGTTGGTCTCAAGTACCTGATTACACCCCCAAGTAACAATTGCAGCTTAAAGCAGTAATTCAGAATGTCCATCATTTTCAAACACCCTTTCAAGCATCTCTTTTCTTCTCTCTGAGGTTCACTTCCAAAATTCTCCTCACTGGGATATTATTTTATCCTGCTCCTCTCCACAACTACACACTGCCTCTAGAATCCTCCCCTGCTTCAAGATCCATGGAGCGCTTAAGCCCAGAACTCAGGACCACTCATCATGATCCCTTGGGATCTTGTTCATCAGCAGCTCAAAAGCACAATATAAAATCAGCATACTATAGTAACGCAGCCACATCAATATTCATAGCAGCTCAATTCACACAATAGCTAAATTGTGGAAGACACTCAGATGCCCTTCAACAGATGGATGGTTAAAGAAACTGTGATATATATATATATATATATACACACACACACACACAATGGAATATTACTCTGCATTAAAAGAGAATAAAATTACGGCATTTGTAGGTAAATGGATGGAGTTGGAAAATATCATGCTAAGTGAAGCAAGCCAAACCAAAAAATCAAAGGCTGAATATTCTCTCTGATAAGTGGATGTTGATCCATAATGGGGAGTGGGGAGGCATGGGGAAAATGGAGGAACTTTGATTCGGCAAAGGAGAGGGAGCATAGGGAGGGTGCACGGGGGCAGGAAAGATGGTGGAATGAGATGGACATCATTACCCTAGGTACACATATGACTGCACATATGGCGTGATGCTACATCATGTACAACCATAGAAATATAAAGTTGTGCTGCAATTGTGTACAATGAATCAAAATGCATTCTGCTGTCATATATACCTATTTAAAATAAATAAGTGTTTTTTTAAAGCACAACATAAAACAGAGGCAACCCCATATTCTTTATTCACTCCCAGGATTTTAAAGTGTTATTCAAAGCAAGAGATGTTA